CTCCTGAAGTGGTTATTTGTCCCCCTTCATTATTGCTACATACTCAGAAAGCTTCTGGCTTTTAGTCTATCAGTTTGTGTATTGCAGAGCCTTTAATAATGGTTATTTCCTGGTAGTGAATGCTGAACTTGGTCTAGGGGGACCTGTTTGTAGCATAGTTTTCTGTAATTACCCAAAATTTACACAGCAATTCCAGGCTTATTATATGGGGCACAGTATGTAATTACAGGCATAACATATTAGGTCCTAATAACAGCAAATATATCATTACACAAATCATTCATGTTACTGTGCTGATACTTTTATATGGACTGAGTGAAAACAACTGCTAATAATGACAATACACATCTTACAGCTGCAGTGTAACCAGTGCCACTGCTACACAAAGCAGGGCAGGGGCAGGAGTAAGGAAACTTCCACTGAAATATCGTTGAGTCCATGAAATATCACGTCCAGAAACCGAAGTGGAAACCCCTCTCTGTATAGTTTATGTATGACAATTGTACTCATCACTGCAACCACTCAGGAAGAGGGATCTACATTTTGTTGTTTACTGATGGATCTCCTGGTCCAAACCACCACAGTTATGGGAGAGGGAGATGGTTCTCCAGACCCTAGAGCTGTAGAGGGAGAGAAGGAAACCTAGAAATGCAACAGCAGTCAGAGTTGGAGCAGCGGGGTCACCAGCTTGGAAGAACTGGGCTCAGCCCAAGACTTGTACTAAAAGTGCTTTGAGGCACTGTAAGCCTTCTCTGTAAGGTGACTGCTGATCCCTGCCACAGGTAGGGAGCTTGTAGGGAGAAAGTGTTAGTGCTATCGTCTGTCAGACAGCCCTGGGGGTGGGTTAAGGACACAGAAGGGGTTCAAGGCCATTCCTGACCTTTGCCTGCAGCTGTATGAGTGATTTGGGTTGATGCACATTGCGTAATGGGTTGATTAAGCACTGCCATCCTGGCACTACAAGGTGCATCATCTCAGTCCTTGGCATGGAGGGCAGAAGCAATGGAGATTTCTTTTTCTCGTACCACTATATCAAAAAGTTCAGGCGGTGACTTCTCTTTCAACATCTACATATTTATATCCACAGCATGGTTCAGGCTGCAGTTTGGTTCCTTTGCTGACAGGTTAACCTGCTTTCTGGGCTCTGTCTGCAGGAGCCCACCAGCACTTTTGCCAGCACTAACCTGGATTTACAACCTTAAGCCCCCTTTTCCCCCAGCAGCAGGATGGGAGTCAGCCACCCTCATTTTGTTCAGAGCATCTCCAGAGCACCTCAAAGTGACTTTAGGAGGAGGAAAACACAGAGGCTGGGGTCTGTCCTGAGGCATATCCTCAGGGGCACACGGTTGGGAGTTATCAACAGGACCCAGTTTGCACTTGGTCAGCTTGGTTTGAGCACAAGTTTCTGTTTTGCCTGTGCCATCCTATTTTGGTGTGGAAATATCCCAGTTAGAGCAGAGATGATGAGCAGGAACCAGGGGAGCCAGAACCAGCCTGCCAAAGTGATTTTACCCAGCCATGCAAATACTTACGGGTCAGCCTGAGTGGGAGTATTTCTGTTGATGCAGAACAGAGGGAGGAGGAGTTGCTCAGCTGAGCCTGGTGAGGATTGTTGTGCAAATGTGGTTGTGTTGGTCTACAGAGGTCTACAAATCATATAACCATAGAATATTCTGAGTTGAGGGGAGCCCACAAAGATCATAAAAGTCCAACTCCTGGTCCTGTCAGCAGGACAGCCCCAAAAATCACACAATGTGCCTGACAGCATTGTCCAAACACTCCTTGAACTCTGTCAGGCTTGGTGTCATGACCAGTTCCCTTGGGAGCCTGTTCCAGTGCCCAACCACCCTCTGGGTGAAGAACATCTTCCTAATGTCCAACCTAAACGTCCCCTGGCACAGCTTCATGCTGATCCCTCAGGTCCTAATGGATACTCCCAACACTGAAAATGTTTGCATTTAGAGGTGTCTGTGCAGGACAGAACTCCTCCTGAAAGAAGGACTGTGCAGCTGCAAGGACATTTATTTAACAAGCAGGTAGATGGTGACTGCTGCTGTGAATCCTGTGCCACACTTTGAACAAGTCTAACAGTGTTGTCACATTTACAAGATGATCCTCATTGTGGTCCTTGACTTTGATATCTCCTTGGCTGCTAAATTCCTTCAGCAATTGCTAGATCAGAACTAAGGGGAAACACTGATGCCCTTCACCCACCACAGCTGGCATCTGTGCAGTGGATGCCGTATGAGTAATGGGGCAGTGCTTTACATCCAGGCAATGCTACTGTTTTGGTGTGTGATTTCTGGTTAAATATGGCATTTTGGTTTAACATGGCATTCAGCATCTGGGAGAAAACCAAATAAATCCCACTGACCCCTCAGCACCCCCTTTACATCACGAGCATCACCTCCCCCTGTTCCACGGTGGGTCACGGTCAGCTGAGGGGAACTGCCATCCTTTGTGCTGGTTGTGTTACCAGGGCTCCCATGCCCTCCCATCCAAGAGCTGGGGGTCAGTGCCAACTGGGAACAAAGGTTTTGGCTCTGCTGACCCTGGGGAGGTGACAGCATGAGGGCTGTTTTGCTTTTCCAGCATGATAACAAACATCATTCCCTTGTTATCTGCAGAGGAGAGTGATCGCTCGGCGTGTTTGCTGGGCAGGAGTGAGGTGAGGTCAGCTCCGTACCTCGGCTGACGCTGGTCTGTGCCTGGCCAGGAAAGCAAAGTGTCACCTCCATGACGATATTCAAACTCATGACTGCTACCCTTTGGTAAACATTTATCCTCCTTGTTGTTGCCAGAGTTGGTTGCTGGAGCTGGGCTGGGATGCACAGGGCAGTTGGGGTGGCATTGCTGCTCCTCTTGCCTTGCCTGACCTCCTGCTGCGATACAAAAGCATCCACGCAGCCTCTTGCAGAGTATTGCTCACTTAAATCAGGCAAACCTATTTATTTTTTTAACTTTTAGGGACTATCTTTCTGCCAGCATTTACTGGAATGTGGGAATAGCAGGGAATTTCTAAGGGAAGTGAATCTGGGAATTTGTGAATGAGCAACTTGATACCAAGGGTTAATGTTTCCTAATCGGGGGGGACAAAGAATACTGCATGACCTAAAGCCCCAATCGCAACCTGATGATGCTGCCCAGCTTGTGATTACGTATTTGCAGCAAACTCCTTATCTGTAACAGTCATAGAAAGGGAAAAAAAGGGCATATCAGCAGTACTGTATCGCTGACTCTCCTTGCAGACCTTGCCTTACTGATAATTATTAACTCTCTCAAACTGAGAGCCACTGCAGCATTCACAACTAAAATATGACGGTGTTTCTCAAATTAAAAATGCTTGGTGAATGTTTCACTCTGCTCAAAGAAAGAAATGCCCACGGGGTTTCCTTAGCCTACGGATACCAGGACAAGTTGAGGTTGTTCCCACTGATCTTGCTCAAAACCCAGATGGGAGAAAGATGGGAGAATGCAGCATAGCCCACAGAAAACCTGCAGTTCCTTTTTTTTAGGCCATCTTGTGAGGTTGTTTCTTCTTCTACTGCCTTCCAATCCTCTTCCTCTGCTTTCTCTGTCTGGGCCACACACACGAGGTCCAGTTTCTTGCTGGTTCTTGGAAACACTTGCCCTTTAAACCCAACACTTTGACATGGGTGAAACAGCCCTGGAGCGTTTCCTGTGGTCCGTGAACTCAACCTCTCTCCCCATTATAAGCTAAAAAGCTGCCTTTAATGTATATTATGAAAGGCATGGTTAAAAACGGTGCTTTAATAAAGAAATACAAATGACAATCTAAAAATGTCTTTTATTGGGCTGCTAATAATGACCAGCGGTGAGAGTGGAGGGGTAAGCAGTATAATAAGCTCCTGGGAGGAGCCAGGGGACTTGGCAGTGAGCAGCCTGGCACACCAGACCCAGATCCTGCTCCAGTGAGCTCAGGTTTTGCATAGCAGCTCCCCAGCTCGGTGCTCACCTGCCAGTTGCTCAGCTTGGGAAACAAACAGGCAAGCACTGAGGAGTTCAAGTTTTGTATATTCATGTCAGTCAAACAGAGACTGTTCCCTCCCCTGCCCAATGATTCTTGCCCACCCCAGCCCCTTGCCCGCCCCAGTGCCGGATGATGCCCGGCCAGATCCACACTGGAGTAAGTCAGACACCCAGGAACCTGATTCATGCTGATGTAGCCAGGATGTGAATCTGGCCTTACAAATAACATTTCCTCTTCAGTGGGAAACAAAACACGATAATCTTCTTGGTTTGGAAACCCTTATTTTTTTCCCTTGAACACGGAGCTCTGTCCCCCCATCATTAGCAGATGTCTTGCATACGAACTGCATTACCTATAAAAGTCTGCTTACTCCAAGCAAATGTTTCTCCATCTTTTCTTTTTTTCTTTTTACTTCAATTTGAAGTGAAAGGTACAGTATAGGATTCAAATGCTTTTGCATTACACGGGTTTCTGATCACTTGAAAAACCCCCACAGAAAAAAAACGACTTCACAAACCTGAAACGCTGTCTGAATCGTTTCGCTGCATTTCGTTCTGCCTAGCTGAACTTTATGATTTTTTTTCGCTTTGCTTTACATGGCACTTTTGCTTGTTTTATTCCTTTATTAAAAAAAAAAAAAAATTCATAGCTCCTGTTTCAGCTCTCACTTCGTGTCAGTATTTCTACCCTGTGGATGTGTCGCACAGGCAGGAACGTCAGGAAATTGCCCAAAAGGCAGAACTACAGAGTAGCTCAAAGGAAGAAGCAAACCTGAACGCCGAAGCACGGCTTGGTGTTGTCCCAGCTCTTGCCCACACCAAAATGCTGGCTCCAGGGCTGCAGGCAGGGAAGTGCAGGCAGAAGAAACAAGAGGCAACTCATAGAAGGGTTCAGAAATTGGGCTTTGTCACCGACAGCTGGCTGGCCTGCTCGCCACGATCTGAATGGCACCTCTGACTTTTCTTTGGCTCAAAGATTTAACGTTAAGGCAAAAATCAGACACAGTGCAGAAGCTCCATCAAATCTTTGGCACAACAGCAACAACAACAACAACAACAACAACAAATTACTGTACACATGAGCTGAGAGGGTAACATTTCCCAGTTAAGCAAAGGGAAAAGTGCTAAATAAATTGCACGTACTAAAGGTGGCTGGCTTAAGAACAATAAGAAGCATCCCTGTCCTTTGTTTTTTCTTTTCTTCTCCTTTTTTCCTTTCTGTTCCAGAGATTAAGAGAGTTCCTTGGCCAATCGTCATCTCCAAAAGGGGTTTCTGCAAAAAAGCTGCTTGCAGTCTTCATCTGGATCGTGCAACCTCTGCCAAGACCAGATGTAACTCTGGCTGGAAGCTCTTCTGAATCCTCTCTTCCTGGTTATTACTCCTGGAAAGAGAAAGATGCACCATCAGAACAGGGAACACACGGTCTCCTGTCGGCTCCTTGCATGGACAACTGTCGCTGACGCACACCGTGGCATCCTCGGGGACTGCTGGCCATGGATCTGTGATTTTTAAGAGCTGGGCTCACAGAGGAACCATCTGTAGGTGCCACAATGGTGGCCAGAGACTGCATAAAGGAGAGGGACCGGCAGACAGAGGGGATGTGGAAGGTTTGGGGAGGAAAACAACATGGTAATTAGGTGTTGGCTCCAACTAAAAAAAACAAATTAGAAGTGAGGCAAATATTTGCTTTTGAAAAGGCCTGCAGCCTTCTGGTCTATTTTGAGTTTCAGAAGCTGATCTCAGAAAGCAACAAAGCTGGGTTTGTGCAGGAAATGGGCTTTATTTCTGTATTTTACCTGTTGTATATACTTTTCAGTGTACATGGCTGCTCTGCCTGTGGGACTGCAACCTGTCCCAACGAGCCTGTGCATCCCCTGCGAGTCACAGCCATGGCAGATGGGCAATTGCACTAGGCTACAGGATATTATGGCCAGGTCCATTGGAAAACACTCAACTCTAAACCACAGCAGCTTCAGACAAGGAAAACTCCATCTAAACCCCCTTTCACATTAAAATAAGCACCGTGAATATCCCACAAACAATTGTTAGCATAGTTCAAAACAGAGGGAAATCCTCAGGGCCTGAGGATTGCATGAGATCACATCTCTGTTGTCCAAACTGCCTTCATCGTGTGGGTTCCCAAATCCTCCTTTAAGTAATTTAGGAATTAGAAACTTGGAAATGAGATCCCATTTACCAAGTGCAACCACTGTTTCTTGCTTTTTGCCAATGCATTTGAGAGCACTTCCTTTGGACATGGTCACCAGTTCCCTGGACAGATCAGCCATCTTTCTGACAGCCTTAAAAGGTTAAACTCCTTAAAGCTTGGCCCGGAAAACATTTTTTTTTTTTCCTCAATCTGTTTTGTTTCTGTACTGCCTCTCCTTTTCCATCACTAGATATTGTAACATTAAGGTACAAAATATTAGTAGCGTACTGGTATTTGATTTATTTTAGGACTATCATTAGGGCAGATTATCATTCTGCTGGACCTCAGAACTCCTGGAGTTGGGGTCAGCACACCTGGATAGGGTGGAGGAGGCTCTGCTGGAGGACTGGATGGAGCTGCATCCCAGCACATCCCAGCAATAACACAGTCCTTGGATAAAGTCACTCCATCAGTCCTAGCCCACAGCAGTTGCTCTCCCAAATAAGCAGTCACAAGCTTTTCACATCTGGCATGTGCCAAATCTGAAAATAGAGCTTGTGATTCCAATTATGATCAGCAAGGAGGTGTCTCTGCAGACTGGATGATCCTACCTAGTGCTGCTCAGAGCAGAAGACACAGAAACTATTGCCCTAATTCAAGGCCTTAATTGGTGTTTGGGATTTTGAATAAATGAGGTTTAGGTGGGAGGATGACAAACAGCCTTGTGTATTGCAAATGTTTCTGCTGGGAACCTCCTAAAATTATTTTGAACAATAAATAATATATATTAATAACATGTCATAGAAAAGTCAGTTGTTTAATTTATCCTGCATGGAAAGAAAATGTAAAAGAAGAAAAAGGAGAGAAGCAATGACCACTCTCAATAATATTAAAAGACAGTAGAGAGACCAATCCCCCCTGTTCCTGCCTAGAACAGCAGTCTTAGCAAGCAAAACCTTTTCCACTGCAGGAACAAAGTACCCAGCAGTAGCAGCCTCTTGTCCTAAGCCAAAGTCACAGGCCTCTGGTGCCCTTTAAAGCTGAACAAACATGACCTGGCATTGCAGTTAAAACCTCCTGCATTTGTTTGGAGAGACCCTACCCTCCTGGTCATGGTGCTGATCAAAAGCACTGATGGGTTTTGGGAAGCAGGATGGTTTTAGGAAGAGAAGTCTCAGTGGCAGCTCTCCTCTGTGAGGTTTCTGGGGGGGGAAAAGGGAATATGCACAAACCAGCCAAGGGCAGGTAAGGGCTGTCCTGTTGTACCTTTGAGGCGAAGGAAATGGGAAGGGGAATAGAGAGATGCCTCTGCAACGTGATGGAGATGCTCAGCACACCTCACTCGCTTGTCCCCAGGCACTGCCCCGTGCTGGCCATGGGTTATGTTTGGTGGGAACAGGCTCCGTTCTTTCCCCCTCCACCCTTTCCCACTCCAGTCAGGAGCTCTGAAGACAGATTTATTAGCCTGGGTCTGCTTTAAACTAATAATATCAGAACTCCCATGGCTCTTGAATTTGACAACTGGCCCAATGACCTTGGTGAGTTTGCAGCATCCCAGAGCATTTCAATCTCTATAAATCAAAGCAGTCCTGGAATTGAGTCAGCCTTTGTTCCAGAGTTTCTCCTGCCTCCTCCACTCACATTTGCCTTTTGCTGTAGTTACCCAGTATCTGTGGGGTGGATCTTACCCTATTCTTGGTAACACCCTTGCTATGAAGAGAAGGGACCCTATGCTGGGACTCTGCTCCCACCATGGGAGCAAATCCCTGGCTCCAGTCTTTGTGTGCTGTGACACGGCTGCTCCAATATCCCTCAGAGCAAAGGGGCTCTTGGGGTGCTGTCATGCAACAGCAAAGTCCCACATCACATCCTTTAGCAAGGAAAAGCTTTCAGCCCTGCTCTTGGGGTACTGATGCTCAATCCCCCCAAGGGTATGCAGTGCCTTTGGGGATGCACACAGCTGCTGCTGCCTCCCTGTCCATCCTTGGCTGAACTTATCATGAGCCTTAACACCCGTGCCCCACCTGCAATGGATATTTTTGAGTTGCAGGGACATACAAAATCCAACCAACAAGCAAATGAATCTCACTACCCCCTCACTGCCTTGTTTTTAAGGAGATCCCTGGGGGTGTAATCCTCCAGCCAGCACGGGGCAGGGGTAACTCATGAGCGGGCAGATCCAGGACCTCCCCGTGCCCCCAGGGATGCTGCCATCCCGCTGTCCCGCGGCAGATGGACAGACGGCTCGGGGCGGGTGGCTGCTCTCCTGTGGTCCAGCTCCTCCCCGGAGCCCGCGGAGCTGGCGGCCGCGGGGAAGCAGACTGGCTGGCTGCCCGCTCTCGCCGGCAAGTCCTAGCAGGGAAATGAAGCTATTTTTAAAGAGGAACCTCTGCTAAGTCAAACTGCAGGGAAAGGGAGGTCGAACCTCATTAGGAGACCCCCCCCTCCCCGGTCCGCACACAGGACGGGGAGCCGCGAGGAAGAAATGCCACGCAGATCATCAAGGTTTTACTGTGCTGGCTCTGAATGGTCCTGATAATCAATATCAGATGATCAATAACAGCAAGCCCCGGCAGCCAGGATCATCCAGGGGGTGGGAGCTGTGGCTTTATCTCGGGGCTCTGTCTAAATAAATCACGACTCATGGTACAGTGTTATCGAAAAAATATGCTCCAAGAAAATGGTTTCGGTGCCATACAAATCAAGCCTGACACTACCATTTCTCTTTTATCGTATAAACCCTTTACTTGTTCACTCCTGCAAGTAAATACGCCTGCAGAACGCCCTCCTGTCAATGTTTTTCAGTGAAAATAAGTGTTACCTACGGCGGGAACTCTGCTTTTATGAAAGTAGCAATAAGGAGGCATCAAGGCATGGCACAACACCACAATAACTATTTTATATAATGCAATAATTGCATACATAATGTCAGCCCTTTTAGTGCAGTAGATTGCAACAAACAAGAGAGGCTTTCCATTCCGTATATGATTCTAAATTATTTCAGTTATCTCGGAAAAAATAATATATATATATCCATATGCATGTGTGTGTATATATATATCTATCTATAAAGCGTATTTTTAATTTTTAATTCCTTGCGTCTGTGCTCATCCACACACACAGGCACAAAAACAAGAAACTAAATTCCAGCCGAAAACTTTTATTGAGCTCCAACTGCTCGCCTGTTATTCATAACCCAGTTTCCTCTCTCACAAAGAGACCTTTCGCATGGTTTTGTTTTTGTTTTTTTTTTTTAATGTGTGTGTGTGTTTCTTTTTTTTTTTTTTTTTTTTTCCTTCTGCCTCGCTAACAGCTGCTCGCAGTGTTGTATCCTGAGTGATGATGAGGTTCTGAAAGTGTTTTTTTGGAACAGATGGCCAGGAGAGAGCTGGGGAATGTGCCAGCAGCGAGCTGGGGAATGCGCCAAGTCCTGCAGTGACTGAGTACTCCGGGTTCCAGCTCGCGTGCCTTTCCCCTGCCCTCTGCCCCAAGTGGCGCCAGCAGGACTTCCCAGCTCGCGCTCCGAACATCTGGAGTCTGCGACTGCCAGAAGAGCCGGGACGGGGGGGAGGATGAAGAGAAAAAAAGAAAAAGAGAAAAAAAAAAAAAAATCCCTCACCCATCCCTCCCTGCTCCGGCTGAGCTCCCGTGGCCGCGGCGATGTTGCTGCCTAGCACGGGGGCTAATCAAGAGCAAAGAGGGGAGGGGAAGGGGGAGAAAATGAACCTTGTGATGGGGGTTTCAGTGCTGGGTGTGCTGCACAGGGTGTTTATCGGCGGCCGGATCCTGCCCTGGGTGGACGGAAGGGCTGTGTCTGTGCTGCCTGCTGGGGGAGTAAGGTCTGCCCCACAGCCTTGGGGCCGGATCCTGGGGGTCTGGGGGACTGCAGTGCACAGCTCTGCACCCCCACAAACCCCAGCCTCCAGGGAGAGCCCCTGGCCGTGCACCCTACAGCCCTAACCCGGCCCTGAGCTGCAACACCACCTTCCTGCAGGGGGAAGAGACTGTACAAGCAGCAAGCTGGGCCCCAAACACCACAGAATCCATGTGGGGTTTTCAAACGACCTTGGGACCTGTGCACAGACCACGTATGTCGGGGATAAAGACATGTGGACTCCCCTTTCTGATCCGAACCCCTTCACTGCTGCATCCACAGCGCTGCTGGAGGATGCTCCTGGATGGAGCTGAAGGCAGATCCCCCTCTTTTCCCGGACCACCAGTGTGGCCCCAGCAGGACTTGGGGCTCTGCTGAGGGTGTTGCAACCCAAAACTCCAATGTGGTGTGACTTGGGTGCATGGCGAAGGGCAAGGCTTACTCCAGATCACTCTAAAAATGAGCAATAGGCAGCTTTAAAAAATGAAAACTATTATCAGAATTCACCCTCCCCGGCAGCTTCTTTTTTTTTTTTTTTTTTTTTAAGAAAAAGGCATTTGAAGCCTCCTTTGTTGCTTATAAATGAGATCTCCCATCACCGAACACCCTCAGTCAAGTCTAAATTGCAACAACTAAAATCATCTTATAACTGTAGTTAGGACTAAAAAGGAGATTTTTTTTTTTTTCTTGTCAAGTTTGAGAGGCTAAAGCCAACTTTTCTAATTAAAAAAATGGAGTAGAAAGGAGGGTGGGGGGGAGAAAATTACTCAGTAAATTTCCTATTGCAACAGCAAAGTCTGAACAACAACCTAACGTTAGGGACACCAGCTAATTCGCCCTCAGAAACAAAGCAAGAGGCAACGTACAATCCAGCAAATGCAACATCTGGAGTCCCTGCCTGCCAAAACAAACTCCAACCAGCTACTTTTTCTGTGTGAAAAGCTCACGGTGCCACAGCACATCGCAACCAGAGAGCTGAGAGAGTAAGTGAGAGAGGCAGAGACACGATAAAATGGAGATGACAGGAGATAAGGGTCTTGTGGACCCAGCGGCAGAGCTCAAGGAGCAGAGGTCTGGGCTCAGGCTTGCTATAATTTTTTAAAAGAGAGAGTATAAAAGGAAACTTAAAAAAACCCAGCAACAACAACAAAATAACAACCGCCCCAAAGTCGATAATTCAGAGGAACTGCTCAGTGAGCAGTGGTTTCAGAGACCTGATTAAAAACACACAGAGCTTACAAAAACGTGCCGATTTCAACATTAATGAGGGCGTGGTGTTTTTGGGCCAAGCCATTGTATCCTCATCCAGCCGCCTGCACGAGACCCCCCAGGAGAGACATCCCTTCACACCACCTGACATCCAGAGCCTGGATCGTCCCTGCACAGCCATCCCGGATCTGTAATTTCCCTCTGACAACAGTCCCTTCCTCCCTTATGCTCATGATGCCATCAATTTGCTTGGCTCAAAGAGAAAGGGAGACAGCAAGATGAGTCCTCCCAACCCGGGCTTTGCATTCCCACTCCTATCTATTGGGAATTACCAGAGTTACTTAGTGGTACCTGCTGGTTTTTGCTTCATCATCACCTGAATGAGCTCTTGCCATCAACTGAGCAAACACTGCTGGAAATAAAATTAGCCAAATCCTCCCAAGAGAACCTACACCCTCTGGGGCTGCCCTCAACTTGGACTTTCCAAAACAGCAGAAACGCATTTGCTAGAATTTTCATCAAGAAAAGCAAGGCAGAGCTGGGATTAAGACCCTGCCTCAGGTACAAAGCCTGGCTTTCTTTTCAGAGAGGGCTTTTGGAGGAGGGTTAGGGTGTGTGGCCTTCAAGGACGTGGAGAAAAGGCAGATTTTCTCCTGCTGACACTGTTTTCTGTGGGCTGGCAGTGGCTTGTTGGGAGGTGGGATGTGCCGATGCCGTGTGAGAGTTTCATTGTTCACACGCTCTCGATGGGCTCAGGGCTTTTCTCCATGCATCCGCTCTAGAGAGAACTTTGGAGAACAAACACCATAAATAGAAGACCTTTAATTCCTAATTTATTTTTTTAATTAAGGGTGGGCCCAGCCCTAAGCCTCAGATGTGAACACTCTGGGATTTGGAGCTGTTTAAAATCTGGCTCTGTGTTTTCTGTCTCTAAGCTTGCATTGGTTTACATAAGCCAAGACAATGTGTCTCAGCCCATCGGGCACCCAAAGCCTGAATACCAGCCCAGAACTGTGCTGAAGCTCATCATGAAGGATGCTCATCCTCTTCTTTCCCCCCATTTTGACTTTGGGATGAGACCCAAAACCTAACTATAATGGCCAGTCTTCGCAAGCGAAGATCCGGGGAAGGTCTTTCCACCTTCCAGCCTGCGCATTGGATTTTTTAGGTGAGACACAGTGTGCGCGGAACTGAGCCCACCCTTTAATCCTAAGGTTCATCTGCCGGGGCCAAGCGAGCTTGGACGGTGGCAGCGAGGTCCTCAGGACGTAGGTGGGTTGCCTTTAAGGGCTAACGAGCCCCACCTGCCCGGGAGTGGCCCTGACCGGGAATCGAACCCGGGTCTCCACGGTGATAGCGCGGCGCCTTTACCCCTAGACCACCAGGGGCTCCCAAAACCTAACTAGCAATCTGCTAAAGCCTCAAAAAGGATGCTCATTCCCTTTCTCTCTCCCATCTTGACTTGGAGAGGTGACTCAAACCCCAACTAGCAATTTGCACAAGCCTCAAAAACGATCCTTTTGTTCTCCCCCATCTCAGCTTGGCTGGAGACCTAAGAACCAACTCGCACCTTGCCCTGGGATTGGTGGCATCACATCAGTGTTCCTGGGACACCACTGCCTGTGGCACTACAGACCCCACAATGAAACCTCAACTTTGGGCTGTGCCCAGGAGCTCCCCCGACATCTCCCAGCTCCAGGCAGGGCTGTGGGTGAGTGGTGCCGTGTCTCTGCCTGGCACTGCTGCTCCGGGGGCATAAATACAGCCCGTGACAGTGAAAGGAAGCGACAAGGGAGTGTGCTATTGTGTTTATTTATAAACTGAATTGCTGCAGGATGATTTGTTGGGCTAAAGAGGAGGAAAAGTGAGGAAACCTGCCCGAATCACAGGCAGATCTTAACGACACCAGGGAAGGAGCCTGCTCCCTGGCTTAGCTGCCCATTCATCCATTAAAATCCTGCTGATTTATTATCCCGCCTGACAAGCAAGCCCAGAAAGCAGGGGGAAGTTCAATTCAAGTTTACAAAACTCTTTTTGTCATAAAAGCCTGAACAAAGACATCAATCACTCCTTTAATTCACCCATGTCACTCTCTGAGAGGAAAACTGGCAGAACGCTCCGCTTCCTCCTCCCGCCGCTTGACGATGATTTCACCTAATTGGTTCAGTGTTAAGTAACCTAAAGGAATGCAAGGCGTAATTAGATTTAACGTTGTTTCCTCAAGATACCCACATGTCCTTCAGGTCATACATCTTACTAATGTGTTTATACATACAATGTCTCCATTAGCTACCTTTTTTTTGTTGTCGGGCGATTTTTCTCAGAGATAAGTGTGAGATTAAACAAAACAGAAAACACAGGCGGGCGACCGTGTTTTATGGGCTCCAAAAGGCGACTCAAGGTTGGTTTGGTTTAACAAGGAACAGTCCCAAGATGACTCTTAATAGGATCACGCTCGTGTTGAAACACACGATGGGCGACTAACGAGGGGAAGAGCCCGGCGCGGAGGACAGGGAGGAGAAAAAAGCTTTTGATTAGGAAGGAATGTGGTTATTACAAGATCAGACAGATGGAGGAGAAAATGCGAGAGAGAAAGGCAAGGGATAAAAAAAAAAAAAAATATCAGGAAAATTTCACGAGGTTGGGAAAGGAAGGATTTTTAAATTTTTTTTATTATTTTTTTATTTTTGGGGTTCTTTTTACCTTTTTGTAACTTTTACCGTTATTTAGGGGGCGATGGGGGGAGGCTGTAACATACCTTCCTTTTTTTAGATCTTCCTTCTGCTTGTAAGGTCCTAGTGCACTGCTCCACGCATTCAGAGAAGCTCATGTTACTGTGGTCAGCGCTGTAATCCAGGTCTGCTAGTCTGGCCAGGGAAAGGATATAGTTACAGGCTATTCTCAAGATGGCCAGTTTGGACAACTTTTGACCATAAGAATAGCAGGGAACCTAGAAAGGGTAACAGGGAAAAAGAAATAATTAAAAATTAGGCCACATAAACAAAATATCTTGCTTGAAGCATGGCAAAACAACTGTAAGTTATTTTCTTAGCAGTTTTTAACATAAATAGAAACTCTGGTGATAAAAATGCCATATGGTCCCAACAGGTTTTTAAGAAGAACTCCCCCGCTGATCTCCATGGGGATGAAAGCAGCACGAAGCCTCTTGATTTCAGCGGGGCAGTTCTGCTTAAAATGTGATGGCAGGATACGGCCTGGGATGTCTGCCTGCTGTTCAGTTCTTGGAGGCCCTGTTTCTCTCAGAAACCTGCAGCCCCCATGCCACCCAGTAACTCGCCTTGAGTAACTCACTCCCCACAAGTAGCTCCCATGTCACCACAGGTCTTGCAGAATAAGGCAATAAGGAAGTATGAGCAACTGTATTACACCCTGGCGTTCTTTGTGCTCAAACAGCATTGATTATGACTTCCAGCCCATGCCAAAACATGATGTTGTTGAGGAGCAAGACCTGGAGGCAGTGACTCCTACCTGCTTAAACACCCCATCACGGTACCTAACCCCACAAAAGAGACCAAAGCAGAGCCTGCTTCAGGGCCCTTGATGTATCTCATGCAACTTTTTCCTTCACCTTTAAAGATTTCTAGTGTAATGTGAAACATTCAAACAATTCAAACTAAAAAGTACGTGTCTAAAAAACCAATCAGTGTACGGTTCCTGCTGCAGAAGGGTGGACTGCTTTTCCACCGCGATCCAGCAAAACACTACATCTACACTCAGTTTTGGGCACGCAACTTTAACAAGCCCAGCTTAAATCATTTAGGTTCGATCTTCTGAGTGCGATAGACCCCATTTTCTAGTTTGCAAAATTGCTAAAAGTCATTCAGGCCTTTGTGCACAGGAGTTTATTGCCTACAGGAAACTGGAGCCGGGCGTTTATCTGAAATCCATCCTGGCCCCTCAGGTTGTCTGACCGCCCAGCAGTGTAAGTTTTCATACTACATCAATCATGGGAATGCCTCAATGCCCACCAACCACCTGCCTCCGTACCAGCCTCCATCCTCCTCATCCCTCTGGAGTGTCACACCCAGGGTTGGAGATTTTTTTAATGATTGTTGCCATGCTCATGCCTCAGCCTCTCTTTTCTCCACAGGAGCACAAGGACAGGATCATTCCTGGAGTGACGTCCCTGACTTTACACTAAGTAGGATGGGTTCATCCCTTCCACAGACCCCACAGTGACCATACACAGATTCCAAAGGAGGAGCAGAACAGCTCAGGCTCCAACTACTGTCACCTCCACGACCTCATCTAGATGTGCCATCCCTGTATTTAGTAGCCCATGAGAGATCTTTTCTGTCCATTCATTTGGCCTGGTAAGCTGAACTCCTGTAAATTTTGAGCACCTACAAACAACATCCTTTTGCAAAGTTTTCTCCCCGGTCTATATGAATTTTTTCTCCTTTTGCTTGTTTTGAACTTGGCTCCTACTTGTCTTCCCTTGAGGTTCCCTAGTTCCTGTATTAGAAGAGAGGACAACAGATTTTTATTCATGTCCTCTGTGACACATGTTTTCAGTCCTCCATCATCTCTTCATCCTCTTTTCCAGAAGGAAAAGATCAATCCTTCTTAGCAGACAGTTGTATGGAAGCCATCCTATATCTTTGATGATCCTTGCTGCTCTTCCCTGAACTTTTCGTAGTCCCTTTGGAGCTGAGAGGATCAGAGCAACACAAAGTATTCATGTTGTGGGTGCATCTATTTAACAGATGCTTATGTTAAATATTCCTTTAAATGTTCTGTTAAATATTCGTTTTCTACCAACTCCTGACTTGATTTGTGAGTGCTACCAGACACTGACTTGAGACTTCCATTGAATCATCTACAGAAACCCTGAGGTCTCCCTTCTCTGAGATAATGGTCAGGTCAGGGTCTATCACTTCACATGTGGACTCTGGTATGGTTTTTCCTGTATGCATCACTTCACTTTATCTGCATTGTATTTATTTCATGTACTGTATTATTATCCAATCAGAGTCATAAGGTTCAGTAGAGCTCACAGAGTCACAATTTCAGGTGGTGGGACCTTTCAGGTCTCCAGCCCAACCCTACCCTCTGTTCGAAGCAGAGTTAAGCACAGAGTCAGGTCCTGGTTTGTCTACTTCGTGACATCCCTCCCTGCAGGAACTGGCCCTTTTCCCCCACCCACCACTCCCTGCCTGTACATTGATCACTAATCCACACTCCTGTCCAAGCTGCTCAGCTTCTTCAAATGTTCCTAGGGAACACCTCTGCCCCAGTACTTAGGGAAATCCAAACCAACTGGCCAGATCATCCTTATCCATGGGCACATGAATTTTAGTGCCATTGACCCTGTGGGCCATTTGTCTTGCAGGATACACAGAATCATTTAGGTTGGAAAAAGACCTCTAAGAACATCGAGTCCAACCATTAACCCAGCATGGCCAAGCCCAGCACTAAACTTTGTCCCTAAGCACATTTACGTGTTTTCTGAACACTTCCAGGGATGGTGACTCCACCACTTCCCTGGGCAGCCTGTTCCAATGCTTGAATACCCTTTCAGCAAAGAAATTTTTCTAATATCCAATCTAAACCTCCCCTGGACCAATTTGAGGCCATTTCCTCTTGTCCTATCACTTGTTACTGGGGGGAAGAGAATCACCTCCACCTGGCTACAACCTTCTTTCAGGTTGTTGTAGAGGTCTCCCCTGAGCCACCTGCTGTCAAGGCTAAACATCCCCCGCTCCCTCAGCTACCTCTCATCAGACTTGTGCTCCAGACCCTTCCCCAGATCTCTTGCCCTTCTCTGAACATGCTCCAACACCTCGATGTCTTGTAGTGCGGTGCCCAAAACTGAACACAGCACACGAGTTGTGATACAGCTGAGGTGCCCATTAGCACTCAGCCTATCCAGAAATGAGCCAACAAGCTTCAAAGGGCCTTTTTTTTTCATACACACCATCTACTACACATAGCCTGGAATCACAGAATAGCTTGGCTTGGGAGGGACTTTTCAAGGTCACCTAGTCCAAACTCCCCCCTGCAATGAGCAGGGACATTGCAGAGAATCTGTTTATCCTCTGGGAATACCCTGTGTCACTGCTGCATTGACCTCAGCTGCACAGAGCAGAGACTTCTCTGCTGGGTAACTGTTGGGGTAATGCCTCTTCTGCTGGAATCAGCACCGTGTGTGCCATGGGATTCGAGATACCCCCTGTAAGCTCCTCCGCAAAACTGCCAGTCAAGGAAAAGGCAAGGCTTAAGTGTTGTTCCCATTGCTCCAGAGGGAATCAGAGGGGTAGCTGGAAACGGCTGGAGCCTGGTGGCACAAAGATCCCCTTTTTGTTCAACAAAACCTCTCTCTAAATCTGTGCCTTCACTTTTTTGCCAGCATTATGCACCCACCAGTGGTACTTGCCTTCAGACCATAGTACCTGGTCCCCAGATGCAATGAGCTGAGTTATTTCGAAAGCAAGAGCTTTGAGCAGCAGAAACATCCAAGTCTTTCGACACCAGTGTAACATGAACAGCAGAGAGCCCAGATCAAACAGCATCAGGGAAGAACAAAGCAAGATGGAAACTAAAATGGAAGGATTCAGTGCAATATGGGAGTAATTTCAGAATTAGAGCAAGAAGAAAGTTAAATCGAGTGGAAGTAAAATAGAACCACGAAATCCTTGAGGCTGATGCACAGACGCTGTCCTGTTACAACACAAGAAGGCAGACTAATGTCTTTTTTCCTCATCTGTTTTGCTCTTTCTTTTGTGTTTGGTGTTTTTTTTTTTTTAAAAAAACAAAATAAAAACCAATTTTTTTTTTTTTTTTTTTTTTTGTAGAATATGTTTGCTACAAATGGCAAGGAAAATCTCAGTGCTAACACAGCTGACAAAACCCTCAACTGGGATTACACAACATTTTTCCCACACCACTGCAAGCAGAGTCCAAGCTGGAGCTGCCCCACGTGTCCATGGGAAGAGGTTCACCTTGAGCAGCCCAGATACTGCTGTGATGGGTGCGGGGCACCAACATTAAAAGATAAGAGGTTTTTTGCCATGGTAACAGTGTTAAAAAAACTGTTTCATAGGAACCCTCCCTGTCTTGGCTCTGTTCCTGCCATTTAAATGTTTCCTTTTGAATTAAACATGGGAAATTAAGAGAGGAATGAGCCACTTAGTTCAGATCCAGAGTCAAAGCTTCCCCAAGTGTGTGTGTGTGTGTGTGACTTTGGCATTATCTCTTCTTTAACATAAAGTCAGCAGGAAGGAGGGGACAGCTTTGCGCAGACTGGAGAAAAGGTTGTTGATGACACACCTGGGTGCCAAGAAATCTTCAAAATCCAACTTGAAACAGAGAGAGTGTCTTAGAAATGGGAAAATGCCTGATGCTGGTGTGGCCTTGCAGCTGTAACCCTCCCAGGTTCCATGGAGCCTCCACTACACAGGTCTTGGGCAGGTGGTAACACAAGCAGGTATCTGTCACACTCCTGGCAAGCACCAACCCCTTTCTTTCTGTCACCTTCTTGTTCCTCGTGCCTGAATTGAACAGATTTTGGAGCTTTGGTGGGACAGCTGCAAAGATGGGAGCTGAGCAGGTCCGTTCAGAGTCAGGGGGAAACAGGGTAGAGCTCAAGTTCCTGTGCAGTTTATGAAAATATTTCCCTTATCTGACCTCACTGATCTCTCCCAAGCAGCAGCACAGCTCACCCTCTAGCCTGCAATATTTGCAGTGATTAAAAGGAATTAGGAAGGAACTGCAACTGAAATTTCACACTGATTCGAAGGAATGCAGCTGTCTTCTAGAAAGGCTAGAAAGGATGCTGGCACCATCCTCGGCTTTGGGAGATCAGCACGGAGTGGGCTGGGACCAGCAGGAACCACAGCTTCAGTCAGAGGATGTTTGTAAGTTGTGTCTGCAAAGGACTCAGACAGACTCAAACAGAGTCTCCTGGGTCTTATCAGTGACCCCCAGGCT